TCGATAAATAAATATGAATATGAATATGAATATGAATATAATGTGAATATGATGTGTAAAGTGTAACTTGGTGGTTGAGAAAGCAAATGTCGTATGATATCATCTTCCAAGGAATACAGCTTTTCCCTTGAATCATTTGGATTAGTAACTTAGAATCTCCTATAAGCAGTGACTTGAAATTAAATGGTGTCTAAGTTGTGTTGATGTCTGGATCTGGTGGGGCTATCAACTGATGGCGCCTGAGGGCCGGGGCCACTAGCTAGGTTCAGGCCTTGCTCTTCCTTCCTTCCTATCGATGGGGGACAATTGGTCATGTCCTAAGAGCATGACACCTGGAGGCTGGAGGGTGTGCACACTTGTGGTCAACCCGTAGGTGATGTTGATTGTAAGACTGCACCATCCTTCTCTATGCGTCCTTGCCACGTGAGCATGGCGTCATGGAAACGGACGGCTCAACTCACATCAATGCGATGTGCCGCTGGAAGCTTTGGCATTAATTATGTTTACAATATTACATCAGTGTTACTAAAATTGTACGTAGTTTTCTAAGAAGTTTTCTAAGGCCTTGGAAAAAGATAAATAGTACATAGAAAAGAAAAGAAATAGAAAAAAAAAATGAGACAAGTACAAAAACAAAGTGGGGTTGCTGGAATCAACTGCGGGGGTGCTTTTTTCGACTTATCCAACCAATTTTTTGTAGTTCGTAGCAAGGGTGGAGCTAGGATTCTATATGTGAGGGGAGGGAGAAAATTTGGTTGTAAGGGGATAACATTATTTTGCTATAACGTTATGTCAAATGGAAAAGTTATCACGCGTGTTATAGTATTATTAACCGAAAATAGCAAAATAGTGCCTTATACTGGCTCTGCTTTTGGTCCGTACGAAGTGGGCACTCATTCAAAATGGCTATCTTGTGATTTTATGTCAAAGAAAATGCCGCAAATTTAGGTGTCAAAAGCTTCGTTTCTCTTGTGTTTCACTAATAGAGGTGTATATTTATTTAATTTACGTCCACCAGTGGTGTAGTAAAAGAGTGGGTTAGGAATAGGATGATGGGATTTCAAAATGATGAGATGTGAGAATTTGAAACATCAAACATGATTTATTTTTGTAGAATCTGTAATACTTCTTGCATGGCTAACCTATCAAATATGATTCTAGCAAGATGAGATTTAAATATGGATTTTTTGTTGTTGTTGGATGCATCAATTTGTAAGGGAGAATCATTGATGATGCATCAAATATAACTAGGTGGCGGTAGTGGGCAGTGATGGTTGTGGGAATGATGGTGACAGCAGTGGTAATGGTGGCGGTGGAGTTTGTGACTTTAATCCGTTGAATTGAGATTTTGGAACTTAGATATTTGGCTAGAATTTTAACTTGGGAATCTATGATAAGTTCCAAACCTTTTCACCCCAATTTATTTATAAAAATAAATAAATTTTAATTTGGAACCTAAACATTATCGTTGTTGAAATGTGAAGGTCTGTCTAAATATCAAGTGTAGTTTCTCTGTCCACAAACACTTCACTAAAACGACAAGTATATACATATGTGTATAAATAAAACGACAAGTATATACATATGTGTATGAATATGAGTTTCGATTGAGGGAAATTTTATCGGGCCTATATGTTGCATTGTGTTTTAATGATTCGAATTGTCTATTTTTTTCAAGTTGTTTCTCAAAGATCATTGCTCAAAAACTCGCTCAATTCTAAAGTCATTTAATGACTCAATGAAATGTACGTCATTTTAGTATTTTCTTGAATAGATGTTCTAATGGTTTTTAATTTGTCTATTTATTTCACAAGGACATATCTTTAAATCAAGACTTAAAAAATAGACGAATTTGATCATTATGATACAGTATGTACCGGACTCCACAATGTATCTCACACATAAGGGTGTTTGAGAGATCTCTTAATAGAGGATCTTTGTACATAAATGTATACACATTTACACAGTGAACTTTGTGATTCTATATTGAGGAGATTGGCTTGTCGGCGAGAGAAAGAAGAAGAAGAATTTTATATGCTGCCGTCGTAAACGAATCATGTGAAAATCTTGGGGTGGCAGAAAAACTCTCCATGCGTGGATAGACATAGATAGCCGTCTCACATGAAAAAAGGGCTGAATGAGAATGTGGTCATTGACCCATATGAATCAATGAATGCCAAAGCATGATGACCATTATAAAGAAAATAATAAATATTTTCCATTTTCAACTGAGTTGCAGAGCTTTGATAATAAACCATTTATAAATATTTATTTATTGGTTTGCATGACTTTAACTTAGCTAGTAGCTATCTTTCTACACAAGCGAAGAGATGAAGAGATGAAGAGAAGAAGAGATGAAGAGATGAAGAGAAGAAAAAGGCAAGGGAAAGTGAGTGGAAAGTAAGAGTGCATGCCCACCTACCGCCACCAATTACTTCATCAATCCAAGCGGAGAGCCTTTTTGTTTGACCTTAACAAAAACATTCCTGCAGATTTTGAAAATTGTTTGGTGCTTTGAATTTGTTTATGCCGCTCTCGCTCTTTTCAATCGTCCAAACTCCAACAAAAGTGGCTTTTTGGTTTTTGATATAGGCCTAGGGATGAGGGGTTCTGACTTATGTCCAAGTTCAGCCTACTTCTGACTTATTTGGTGTGTTGACTTATTTCAAGCACACACAAACAAACACCAAAAACAATACCCCCGCCAAGTCCAAGAGTTGAAAATCACACCAACTTTTGGTCCACTGCTTGCTGCATCTTCCGTGGCCTACGTGGTTGCAAGCCTACAAACACAAACCCCCAATTCGAGCGCAATTATGCCTTCAACAACGTCAATGTCATTGCAATGCTAATGCGCCAGCCGACATATAGGCTAGGACACATATGCCCTAATTGTATATACTAAGGTCTCGGTGCTATTAGTAGTGGAATCACTTATTTTGTTAAGTTTTCGATGTGAGACTTTACATTGTTCAGCAATTCATTCATTTGTATGTTGCTGTTTATAAATAGTGTGTTTTTGGCATGTTGCTGTTTATAAATAGTGTGCTTTTGGCATGAGTAGCACTAGCTATTTCCCAAACCTTCGTGCATGTTCCTTGATCAATATATAATATATATCCATCATAATTCCGATTTCATAAAGCAGTTTCTTATATCTTCCATTGTGTGGACTGGAAAAGCGCAAGAGCAAGAATAATGCTCATCTCCCAAATTAAAGGTAAAATTTGTTCAAAAGTAGTCTACAAACGTCAGAATAAGAAAAGTGGTAAAGATAAAGATGAGATATAGTGGGGGAGAAAACGAGTATGTAGCCCCCGCTGGAAGGGTTCCCTTTTTACTTGTACTAGTGCACACGAAAAACATTGTGACTTGTGAAAACTATATATATATATATATATATATATATATATAGGGCAGGTTCATTTGGAGTCCCACAAAACACTCTTTCATTATCAACTCCAAATTGTGTTGGAGGAGCAATGAGCTTCAACTTTTCCCAAAAGTCATGCCGCAACTTTTTCCTTTTCCAAAGAAGAAATATATAACATCAAAAATTGAAGCAGCGCAATTCCTCCAAAAGTTAATGATCAAATTGTTGATTGAGGGGTTGAATTGGAGGAGTAAAAATAGGCTTTTTTCACTTTCTCTTAATGGTCAAGTTAAAAACACAGAAGAAACACCTTTTCAATATGGATATGGGTTTGAATGTGTCGCAGGAAAACAGAATACCACTTGTAATATGTGTGTGTTGGGATCCACTTAGGATTCATATGTTGTGTCTCCACTTTGTCTCCCGCTTTTCAATTTCTCTAGACATCTTTCCTTGTACTTGAACATCAAACCATCCTTACACCAAAAATAAAAAAATAAAAAATTGAAGCATATACTATATAGGTAGCCATGAATTTGAGCACAGACTTCCCTGCCGGCAAACCCCATGTGTGAACAACTACTGTTCATATAGTCATTCTTTTATTGCCAAGTAAAGGTGTGGTATTCATTAGGAAGTAAATGTAAGGGTCCATTTGGATAGAGTGATTCCAAATTTAGGGATTTGGATGACACTATAATCTTTGTATGCCAAGATTTGAATGAGAGAGAAAATAAAGAAAACAAATGGATTTCAAATGACTTATTGCATATATTCATTTCCATATTCTAAATGTACCACATTTAGTTATTTCAAATCTTGACATACATGGATTGTAATAGTCTAATCTTACAATTTTAACTTTATAATGTCATCCCAATTCTTATATTTGGAATCCCTTCATCCAATGCACCCTAAGTTTTAACTTCTCAATTTTTGGATGGATTCTAAGTTTTAAGACTAGTTTTTGTTGGAGTTTTTATTGAAAGTGTTTTTAATGAAAGCACTTGTTAGAAGCACAAAATTTTCTATATATATTTTAATTGAAAGTTCAAGTGCACCTTGGAAAAGCACATAAAAGTGTTTCTAGTCCAGTGGAAAAGGGCATTAACTTGCAGACCAGTGACCTCAAGTTCGAACCCCATGACACCTTGATAGTGTATTATTATAAACCTCTCTCTCCCTTTGTAATTTAGACTATTGTTTTGTATTTTAAAAAAAGTGCTTCTTGACAAAATATAGTTGGAAGTAATTTTTTTTAAATTTAAAAAAAAAAACTTGTAAGTGCTTCTAAAAGAAGCACATTACCCATAAATAGTTGAAAGTGTTTTTGGCGATTTGAAAACCTTTTTTGACCTTGTAGAAGCATTGTGAGAAAAAAAAAGTCATAAGCCAAAAATAAAAATAAAAATAAAAATAAAAATATTAGGACTCTGACATTTGGTGTTGATATAGATGGTTTAAAAGATCATTTTATTGCTTGAATAAGTTGGAAGTTTGGACTGCAAAGAGAACACATTAATGGATTTCCTGGTGGAAGTGTTATCCACGTGGTTATAGTGCGTGTGGATTAATATTTCCAAGGAGCTTGGCTTATAAATTTAGAGCAACTACTTGCCTCATATTCAGAAGTAGGTTGAGCAACGCAAAGGAACAACCTAGGCCTCCCTTCACAAGTCCCTCTCTTCCTCCCTCCCTTCACAAGTCCCTCCCTCCGTCGTCGCTTGTTTTGGAGAAAGACAGAGCCAACGGAGACTATACAAGGACGACGGAATCAGCTAGAGAAGCAGGCTATAGCTTAATTATATGGAAATGGAACAAAGGAGGCAGCTGCAGAACCACAAAGGTGAGGCCATGAACACGTCTGAAATGGGCAAAGAAGACATCACTCTTGATTGGAGAGGCAGACCTTCCAATCCTACCAAGCATGGTGGGATGAGAGCTGCTGCATTTGTTCTTGGTATCCTCTTCTTCTTCTTACTTTGTCTGTGCTGTTTTCTCTTTTAGTACTTTTGTTTGTTCAATTTCTACATATAAATATATATTTTGTGAGATATAAGTAAGCATGTTCTCTCATACATACCCATACATACACAACTCAACTGGGTTTCTTGGTTACGTTGATACCCTTTAAAAGGGATTAATTTTGTATTCCTTTAAATTAAGCAAACCTATGGAGCTAGTTTATTTATTTATTTTCCCGGTTTAGTAATAAGTTGGTACTATATTTGTTTGTGTATTATATTATTATTTTTGTTTTCAGGACTTCAATCATTTGAGATAATGGGAATTGCAGCAGTTGGGAACAACCTCATAACATACGTGATAAATGAGATGCACTTTTCTCTATCAAAATCCGCCAACATAGTGACAAACTTTATTGGAACTGTCTTTCTCTTGGCCCTTGTTGGTGGCTACCTCTCTGATTCTTATCTTGGGAGTTTCTGGACCATGCTTATCTTTGGCTTTGTCGAACTTTCGGTGAGAGCTCAGCCAGCCACCCTTCCCTCATCATCATTTCACCTTTTTTTTCTTCTTCTTCTCCCACCACTTTTAATTCTGTCTTTATCCAAGCAAAAAAATTGTTTTTGTGCATATATATGAGCATATGAACAAACACCCTTCAGTTATTAAATGACATGTGTTCAAATTTGATGATAATAATAACCCAAGTGTGGAAAGATTAATTAATTTATTGGGTTTGATTGATGACTTGACTGAATATAAATTTTATGATAAATTTTTAAAAACTAATATGATAAATGCATGTGCAATTAATTAATTGTTTCTATGATATGTGTTGTGAACAGGGTTTCATATTACTCTCAGTCCAAGCTCATGTTCCCCAGCTGAAGCCACCCCCATGCAATAACATAGCTGCTGCTGATAATGGAGAAGAGTGTATAGAAGCAAAAGGCTTCAAGTCATTAATCTTCTTTGTAGCACTTTACTTGGTGGCATTAGGGAGTGGATGTGTGAAGCCCAACATGATTGCTCATGGGGCTGACCAGTTCAACCCAGAAAGCCCCAAGCAATCCAAGAAACTCTCCACCTACTTCAATGCTGCCTATTTTGCATTTTCTATGGGTGAACTCATTGCCCTCACCCTTCTTGTTTGGGTCCAAACTCATTCTGGCATGGATGTTGGCTTTGGAGTCTCAGCAGCTGCCATGGCAATGGGATTGATAAGCTTGGTTTCTGGTACCTTATATTACAGGAACAAGCCCCCTCAAGGAAGCATTTTCACCCCCATTGCTCAAGTAATAATTCATTTTCTCAATTATATACAAATATTAACCTCTTCAATTAATAATTAATTAATTCTTAGTAATTTTTTTTATAAAAAAGTTCTATATCATATAGGGTAAAGAATATTGTTTGGTTCCACGTATCAATGGATACAACCTCATACTCCATATCTTCAGTATAGAAGTAGACTGTAGATTGATATTCAGTACCAACCAATTGCTATCGCTATATATAATCGGTTATACTGTTTGATATGCATCTATAGGTATGCAATTTTGTTTGCTTATGTTGTTTAAAAAGACCAGTTACATCATACATGTGGGTTTGTCGAATATGAGATTGTGTACACGCATGTAACAAATCTCTTTTGTGATTTTCCTTTTCAGGTTTTTGTGGCTGCAATTCTAAAGAGAAAGCAGCTTTGTCCATCCAATCCACAGTTGCTTCATGGAAGCCAAAACAATGTGCCAAATGACACTACCACTTTCTCTTCTGACGCTGGCAGTTTTCTTCACGCTGAAAAGTTCAGGTAAATATATATATAAACGGAAACAATAACATGTTTATCTTTCTTTCTATAACTGGATCTTGTTTCCCATGCATCGTGCATGTCTTCTGAATTTTGTATTAACATCTCTTTATATGTTGCAAACCAATCAAATATATATAATAAGAGAATTCGAATTTCCACCGATTCCTTTCCCAGTTTTTTATTACTACTTTAAAATTTTAGTAGGTGATATCATGATGATTAATATTCCAAATTAACCAGGTTCTTGGACAAGGCCTGCATTAAAATGCAAGATGGCACTAATACAAAGGAAAGCCCATGGAGATTGTGCACCGTCACTCAAGTGAAGCAAGTGAAAATACTGCTTTCAGTTATCCCAATTTTTGCTTCCACCATAGTTTTCAATACCATTTTGGCTCAGCTTCAAACTTTCTCAGTCCAACAAGGAAGTATGATGGACACCAAACTCACCAAATCCTTCCATATCCCACCGGCCTCACTCCAATCCATCCCTTACATCATGCTCATTGTCGTTGTCCCTCTCTACGACACTTTCTTTGTCCCTTTCGCTCGAAAATTCACCGGTCACGATTCAGGAATCTCCCCATTAAAGAGGATAGGATTTGGGCTCTTTTTGGCAACCTTTTCAATGATTGCAGCTGCCATCATGGAGGAGAAGAGAAGAGATGCAGCAGTGAATTCAAACAAAATCTTGTCCATTTTTTGGATCACCCCACAGTTCTTGATCTTTGGATTATCAGAAATGTTCACAGCTGTAGGCCTTATTGAGTTCTTTTACAAGCAATCCTTGAAAGGGATGCAAGCATTTTTAACTGCAGTGACTTATTGCTCATATTCATTCGGATTTTATCTAAGCTCCCTCCTGGTGTCTCTGGTGAACAAGATCACCTCCTCATCAGGTTCTTCAGGTGGTGGTGGTTGGCTTGGTGACAATAATCTCAACAAGGACAGATTAGACCTTTTCTATTGGTTGTTGGCAGGCCTTAGCTTCCTCAACTTCCTCAATTATCTGTTTTGGTCTAATTGGTACTCTCATAAACCATCTTCATCAGCATCAAGTGCGCCCGGGAATGAGACTCCCATGGAGGATTATAACCATTATAGATTGGATGATAATAATATACCATAAAGTTATAATTTGTAATCTATATATGTAACGTTACACTTCATTTTATCTAGGGGGTAGGTCATCTTGTAATTTAATAATATATGTATGTAACTATGAATGAAGGCAATAAAAAATAGGGTTCGAATGAGGCTCTCATATGTGCTGGCCTTTTTCTAATATATGCGTATACAGAAACATGTCATGCATGAGTGCACTCTTATAGTTTTGGAAACTGGAGTTATATGTAGCGCTTCAATTGAAGAATCCCTCAAATAAATATGTACTTTAGTTTATTTTTCTTATTCAAGGAAAAGAACATATATACAACTTTCTTAAAAAAGAAACAAAATTTGAAGATGTATTGGAAAGCACATAGAACTTCACTTTAAAAAGAAACTAAATTATAAGATGGTCAGGGGAAAAATAAAAAAGGAAGAACTTTAGAGGACTAGCTTGCAAGTCCTTAATTTGATAAGTTGGTCCCAAACATGTATGGGAATTTGTCTTTAACAAGATTCAATTCATATACATTTTGTTTGCAAGGAAGGAATTTGATAACAAAAGGAGGATCATCGTGCCTTATCCTTTGATTCTTTGAATGTCATAAAGGGAATACGCAAGTGGGGGGCTAGTGATGATATGTTACACGAAATTAAGAGGGTCCTTTAGAGAAAATCTAGCTACCATGATGTGATGCATGCAGCATATGGGACATCATGATGGATAACCCTAAAAAGAAAAAAGTCAAAAAGAAAAAAGTAAGAGAGAGAGAGATGTAATCAATTAAAAAGTAAACTAACAGAGAAGTTTGTTCCCATTTTGATGTTGTTAGTCAAACCATGATACCTTTCTACAAAGAGACATGTCCCAAACATGTTTTGATGTTGGTGCGCTATTTATATGTATGTAAATGTAATATAGGGGGGGCCCCTTGCTATATCCTTGTAAATTGTAATTTAAGAGACCATTAGGAAATGCTACATATTCATATGTTGGCCAAAACATTAGCATGTCGCCAATCCCAACCAGAAAAGAAACAAGGACGTCGACTTATTCATAATTTCATGGAATGAAGAAAACTCATTCGCTCATGGATATCTGCATATCTCATATATCTCATATATATGTATATATAATAGCTTACACCACTAACTACATTATATATCCATCATCACTCATCACTCCACTTTCGCTGTGTTCTCTTTAAAGACCAGACGTTATAAGCGAGGATAATGGGGTGCAGGCGCAGCAGCCACACAAATCTTTTTCTTTATATTCTTCTCATTATTATTTTTTAGTAACTCTTTTTACACCCAAAAATTGTCTCTGGATACTTACCAATATTCTTTGGAAACCCCTAACCAGCAATGTGAGCTGTAGCGCAAGTGTCTTTGTTCATCAACGACATTGTTGTAAGAACTTTCATGCTTTTGTAACCCTGATACTAACTTTGATCTGTACATGGTTCTAGAAGATCTTCTTCTCCTCTTGCGGCTCTCTTAACTCTCACTCAAGTACTCCGATTTGTATTATGTTAGATTAAGTTAATTTCAATCCATATGAAATGGGGAAGTATCACAATCCTTGCTTAACTTGTATGGATTGAAACAATCCCCACGTGCATGGTTTGGACGGTTCACCATGCAAATGAAGAACAATGATTTCAAACAGAGTAACTCAGATCATACTATGTTCTTGAAACACCAGGAGGGGAAGGTAACCACTTTAATAATATATGTTGATGATAAATTATTACTGGGAATGAAGACATGACATATCTCAACTGCAAGACTATTTGGCCAATGAGTTTGAGATGAAGAACCTAGGTGGACTCAAGTATTTATTGGTTATTGAGGTGGCTCGATCAAAGCAGGGTATATTTCTCTCTCAAATGAAATATGTCTTGGACTTATTGACAGAAATATGAATGCTAGATTACAAACCTATGTACACTCCGATTGATCAAAATCATCATTTTGGAGAATACCCGAATCAAGTTCCAACTAACAAAGAAAAATATCAAAGTTTAGTGGGAAGATTGATCTATTTGTCACATACTCGACCCGACATTTCTTATGCGGTGAGCATTGTCAGTCAATTTATGACTAGTGAAGACCATATGAATACAGTTATTTGAATACTTAAATATTTGAAGTCAGCACCAGGGAAGAGACTTATGTTCTCAAAACATGGTCATTCAAATATTGATGGCTATACAAATGCAAATTGGGCAGGAAGTGTAACAGATAGGAGATCCACATCCAGTTACTTCACATTCATTGGAGGTAATTTGGCTACATGGAGGAGCAAGAAACAGAAGGGGTAGCCCTATCCATTGCTGAAGTTGAGTTCAGAGGTACGACCAAAGGAATTTGTGAACTCCTTTGGTTAAAGAAGTTACTTACTCAACTTGGGGGACTTCTTTTACTGTGATCGTGATGATCAACTAGTTACTCGCTTGCCCTGCTTACACCTGTGTCATAGAGGCTGCATTCTTCGGTGGTTGCATTGGCCTGAGTTGCTCAAGATGTATAAGTACTTTGCTGGGATTTGATTGGGCTATTTCAATTAAAATTGGACAAGAATGATGACCGAAGTACAGCGTGCTCATTCAACCCTAATTGGCCAAATTTCAAAACTTTTAGCCTTTCGCCTTTCCGTGACTTATTCTGCTTCTTACGACTCCTCAAAGTAGTATCTCCATCCATTCCTGCATGAAACTTCAGAATCTCAAATGACACACGAAGCAAAGAAAAAGTGATCATGTCTCCTCTTCTACAAAAGATCAGAAAATGATTCTATCCATGCTCAAATTTAAATTGAATTTCCAGGTGAGTCCACATTGTAGATTAGAGCTTCGTAAACTAATGTGAGAGATCAATCAGTTTCATAATGGGCCACATGTACTAATAATTAAAGGCATGCAATTTTTTTACGGAATAGTGAGACTTCGAATTATTGCCTCCTCTATTATGACTAGCCAGTAGTAACAATATTTGCAAGCTCACCTGTGCTGAATGAAGATCTGGGCTTTTCAAAGTCTTTTTCTTCTTACACGAGAGGGGGTTTGGACCCTGCAAGGTGGAAGAGAAAGGTTGGTAAAGTCATAAACATTGAAACAAGCATCTTAAGGAACCATTTTCTAACAGTATTAGCATGCCACCACAACGTGTTAATCTATATTAGCCCAATCAAATCCTATTTAATTTCACCAAAAATTTGGAAAATAGAACATACGTCAAAACACCGAACATCAGCTTAATGATATAATCTACATAGTAAGCCCTAACTTTTAAGTCTAGAATAGGAAAAAGACTACGTTGTCATTTCAAAGTGATCATTACAAATATTAAATAATAGGTGAGATAACGTTCAAGAAGCAAGTAACAAATCACTAATTTGTTACTTGAAATTTAATTTATATCAATCATAGAAAAATTCATTCCATATATGGAATACAATATGTAATTAAGGCCAAGGATTTATATATTTTCAATAAATAAAACATCTATGTAACAAATATCCTAAAACCAGAATTTAAAGACAATAACAAATTAACCATAGGAAAACTACAAATAGTTGTTCCATTACCCGAAAGCCAAAGTTGCCCACAACTGCTAGTTTCATCCATTCATGGGTATCTAACATTCCCTCTAAGTTTGTGGCATTTGAAATGGTGGAACCCAGCCACCAATGTTTTGGCCTTTCTGTGTCAGTGCATCTATTATTATTTTCAAATACTTCATTTCCTAAACTTTTAAAGTTTCCACTTCAAATTGCAAAAGTCTTCAACCAAAATGATGCTTATTTTCTTTCAATCGGAAGAAACTTGAAGCTTCAAGTGAGGATGTTTGCATTTCAGAAAATCTGAACAACCTATCTCCAGCCTACATTCAATGATCAGAACCGTCCATTTTTAAGCTTCTCCGCATCATCAATAAAAATCAGCCAAATAAAAATTATTTAGCCATTTGATCAGCAACCATTTCATTTTCATCTGAAAAACAGTTTTTGTCTGTACAGTTAATATGACCAAACAGTTTCTGATCTGGCTTTGTGTGTGTGTGTGTGTTTTCTTTTTTGGCAAGAATGACCCCTAAAATTGACATAAAATGTAGAAAGTTGCAATCATCAAACTGCATTGTGAGGCAGGCCTAGGGAGGATGCTTACGTTCTATTTTAAAAGCGAACATCCTCACTTGAGAATTCACAAGGAGAAAATCATTGTACGATTCAACTTAGCAGGGAAGGCAAAAGATGCATGGTCAAGAAATTGGCCAGAAAGCAGTGGCCAAAAGGTGGTCCACTGCCCACATCAACGAAGGTCAGAGTGATGCACAAGCTCAAATACTTTTATAATCCACTACAAACAAATACAAAATCTTAATCCTGATACTGTGATGGTGGCAGAGTTCAATGAGGGGTAATGGATGATAAAATATCCATGTACAATATGGTTCATACATAGTATATAATAAAAAATAGAAAAATAGGCACTTGCCCGTTTGTGCGACTCAATACACTACGCTTTTGGTCATCACCGTGGACTTGGGTCTCTCTCTCTCTCTCTAACACACAACAGTAGTTCTCATTCCAAACCAGTAATCATGAATAACTTTTGGAACACGAATTTGTGACTGATATATGTATATCAAAATTCAAAAGCAAGATTCATACAAATACCTCGATATGAACATGACAAGGAGAGAGAATGATGACTTATTGAATTAAAAGCATAATGATTCAAGGTATCTGAGAATCATACCTCTTCTCTATTCCCCCAGCCATCATAAGTAACAAAATACCCATTTGGAGTGAGAGACTCGATTGTAGCACCATACCTGAACATTCAACTAATCAAGCACAGACAAAAAGAAAAGAAAAGGTAAAGAAAATGTAGAAACTTGTGACTATAAGGTCAAGGCATTTCTTAATAGTGCAAGCAAATTCATAAGAAAATGCAAATAAGCCTCCTTACCGGTGGACGGAACTCCAAAACTGAATGACAAAGGACAAGGCCATGGGCTAAATAAAGGCCATTCCTTCACTCCCAACAAATTTGGTCACTGAGAATGCATCAACTTACAGCTTCAGACATCTGATGTGTTCCAGGGAATTCCTTGAATATTTGAAGACTCTAACAAATGCATCCTTTGATGAGAAATAGCAAGAGATGAGGATCATCTAATATGCATCTAATTTTTAAGTTTGAATATCTTTCCTCAACCCACATTTAATGTCTGGAATCAAACTGGAGTATGTGATTAACAAGGTTATGTTGCACTCCCACCTTGATCATTTGACTCAAAAGCTTCACAGATTCTTCCATATTTCCTTGCTTATAAAGACCATTGATCAATGTAGAGTAAGTGATAATAGAGAGGGAAATCCCTTCTTGAACCATCTTGTCTTTAAATTTAAAGGCTTCAACAGTATTGCCAATTTTGCAGTATCCATCAATCAATATATTATAGGTACCAGCATTAGGAGCTAACCCCTTTCGGTAAAGTTTACGGAAAAGCCTCTGTGCTCGATCCAAATTTCCTGATTTGGACAAACCATTTATAAGAGCATTATATGTGGTAATGTTAGGAACAAGATCCCTTTTCAGCATTTCATCTCGTAGGTTGAAAGCCTCGTTCACATTACCAGCAGCAGCAGTGGCATGAATTAGGGTGCAATATGTAAAATTGTCAGGAGAAAAGCCACTAACCAACAACTTCGATAAAAATTTCCTTGCATCGGCAACTTTCCCTGATCTGCAGAGTCCCAAGATAGCAATATTGTATACAACATGGTTGGGCAGAGAGAAACTTTTAACACTTTCATCAAGAGAATCTGAAAATTTCTGAATTTCTTGATGTCTACTGCCAACTTTGCAAAGCTTCAAAGAAGATAGACAATCTGAAAAAAGATTAAAATCCACTAGCTTCTTCAATAGAATATTTGCTTCATCAATCCTGCCAAGCCTATACAGAGTACTGACAACTTTGCTGCAAATAATTAAATTGGTGATAAACCCTTTGTCAATCATCTCACAGTATGAACTAAAAGCTTTATCCAGCATCCCTTCATTGCACCAACCAGTTATAAGGGATCCATATGTAACAATATTAGGGGATAGTCCCCTTGTCTGCATCTCAGCAAGAAGATCCATCACTTTACTTAATTTCCTGGACATAAAGGCACCATTGATGAGAGAATTGTACATTTCAATGGAAGGACCTATCGCTTGCCTTTCCATCAAACTTTTAACTTTGAAAGCTTCTTCAACATTCCCAACTTTACAATACCCATTACTCAGGGTTCTATAAGTCATCTTGTCGGGCAAACATCCTAGCTCCTTCATCTTATCGAAAATCTCCTCCGCTTCCACCAATTTACCCATCTTGCATAACCCATTAATCATTGTATTGAAAGCAACCCTGCTTTTGGTAAAACCTTTTGCTAAAATATCTTTAAATACAGTTATAGCCCCGTCGAGATCGTCCGTCTTGAAAAACCCATCAAGCATGGAACAAAAGCTAACCTCGTTAGGAGCCAACCCTCTTTTCAACATCAGATGCCAAAGATGCAAAGCATCATCAAAAGCACCCGCTTGACATAAACCCTTGAGAAGCGTATTGTAAGTTACAACAGTGTGATTGATTCCTTCCTGAAGCATATCATGGAAAAGCTTCAATGCCTCACTTGTCTGACCTTTCCGACAGTACCCATCCATCAGGGTATTATAACTGTAAGAATCAGGCTTTAAGTTCCAATATCTCATCCGCAACAACACTCCCTCCGCTTCACGAACTTGACCAACCTTACAGTACCCATTGATCAAGGAGTTGCAAATGAAAATATTCATGTTTAAGCCTGTGCTCAACATCTCATCCTGAATCCTAATAGCATCATCCATCCTGCTAGCTTTACAATACCCATCTAACAACACACCATAAGCACGCTCATCCACAACCCCAGACTCCTCCTCCACCTTCATACCCCGAAGCACCTTCTCCGCTTCCTCCATCTTACACTGCTTGCAGTAACCCTTAATCAATAGTGTATAACTCACCACATTTCTCATAATTCCCCTTTCAGACATCAACCCCAACACCAATTGGGCGCCTTTAACATCTCCCAAACTAACATACCCATCAATCAAACTATTGTAAGTCACTACATTTAATTCACAACCCGAACTTTCCATTTCTTTGACGAATTCCAGCGCTCTACTCAGCCTCTCCTCCTTACAATACGCGGTTACCATTATTGAACAAGTATAGACATCAGGAACAATCCCGAACCTAATTATCTGCTCATAAACAAGCAATGCAGTGTGACTTTGGCCGTTTCTGACCAAATTACTCAACAAAGAATTACAAGACCTTAAACTCGGAGATCGACCGCACTTACCCATATTGTCAAACACATGCAGTGCATACTTGGTCATGCCCTTCTCTGCAAACACCTTGAGAATCATATCGAAAACAGTGGGTGAAAACGTAAATTCCCTATAAACCCTAACAAGCTCATCCCAGACCACAGAGGAGAAATAATTATTGTTGCAGAGGCCGACCAATTCGTTCAAATACGCTCTGGTTTGATCGTACATTCGAGCTCTGGACAATATATGAACAATTATACAGTAAGACTTGAGGTTGGGCCTAAATTTTTGCTGCTTTGAAGCCAATTTGAAAAGGCTTAAGCAGGCTACCGGGTTTAGCTTCAGTTTCCGGAGGATAGTGTTGAGGAGTTGGTCGGAGAACTGAAAGGACAGCTTCAGCTTGTCAAGAGCATCGTACCGTTGGAGGACGAGGAGATTGGAAATCCGGTCTTGTAATTCGGGCCGGGTCAGCTTGTACTCATCCCGGAGCTTCCAGTTGAGGGTTCGGGACACATGGAGGGACCTGCGTGGGAAGTACCTGAGCATTTGGTGAGCTTTTGCCGCCACAGAGTAGTGCAACCAATGGCTGAACCAAGATTAAAGCTTTGTCGATCCAGCTTAGTCCTCTTTAACATACCATTCATTACATTTCATATCTGGGTATTCAATCAAAAGAAAACCTTTGATTGAATCAATTGAATGAAGTTCAATTGCCTACAAGGAATGTTGGGCTGAGAGTTGGCCTGGGCTGTCACTATATGATTTTGCAATAATATATCCAAAATTTTAAAGTTACTGTATATATATACCTAGGGAAAAATGCTTAATCGCGATGCGATGCGGAGAAGGGCTATGAATATATTTTTCATATCTTAATTTTAGGGCTTGTTTGGAATTGCTTCTCTAAGAATTACTTTTGTTCATAAGCGCTTCTAACAAAAATGTTTTTATTATAAAAATCTTGAATTTTCATAAAAAATTATCCAAAAGCGCTTCTAAACTTTTCTGCCAAATGTTGCAAGAAGCGTTTTTAGTTATCAGAAAGCGTTTTTGGCCCTTTCAAAAACACTCCCAAACAAGTACTCAGTAGTTAAATTAATTAGATCTAATCCAGTAGAAAATGGCCTAAACTTGAAGACTAGTGATCTCAAGTTCAAACTCTAATAACACTGTATCTGTGAGAAATCTTTTCCCTTGTAGTTTACACTATAACATGTATTTAAAAAAATTTGGTTAAATTAAATTTCTTTTTTGGCACACGTCATACAATGAAACACAAAACACCAATCAAAAGAGTAAGATGGGTCATTTTTGAGTTCCCGGATTCCGTCATATTTGATCATAGAGAAATTAAACCGTCTTTATTTAAATATTATGTATCCGGAGTACGGTTTTTCTTTGGCCAATATTTGTTTAGGTGAATAAAAACTTTTGAAATTAAGGGTCGGCCAATGGGGTTTAAAGTATATGTTGTAACATTGCTGAGGTGGTGCTATGATGATAAAACAGGTTCTATTCTATGTTTCAGTCTGCCAAATCAAATGAAGCAAACAAGTTTCGTAATGCTCAAAAAGTGCTAACTGCTCTTTTCTATATCAAGTGTTCTCTTAACGAGATCCTGCTCTGCTCTGTTCGCCTCTTCTCATCTGAAACCAACCATTGCTTCATTTCAAGACGCAAAAAAGCTTAACACAATACAACTCGAAAGGTTCCGGGAAGGGGGCTATTATAGCAAAATACTAACAACGGGGGTAAGAACAATAAATACAGTTTCAAATACCCATTTCCTACTATGGATTTTCAGTTAACGAGTTCAAACTGAACCTTTTGACCAGGTGTACAGAGAGCAAAAGAAGATATTTCCTTTTTCTTTTTCCCCTTCTACGGAGACAACATGGAGCTAAGGAGCTTCATCATCATTCTCAGCGGTTCCGCCTTTGAGATGCAAGTGCTTTTCCCTCTTCTGAAAGTCTGTCAAGCCCTTCCCACTCCCAGTCACCCCAACTTTCCCAAAAGGATCGTCAGGAGACTTGAAGATGCTCTCACGCTTGCGTCCAGAAAAGAAACCGATCTGAAAATTAATGTAACAAGTTACAGCTCTAGCTGGGATGATATGCGAATGAGCAGTAAGAACAGACAAAGCCGCTTAAATACCAAATCAATTCTTAGAAGAAGCTAGGTTGAAAATTGTCCACCGTGATGTAAAAGTCCCTTTTTAATAGGTACATTTATTTTTTCTGTTTCTTTGTAGTTACAATTGCTGACGGTAGAATGTTCAAAATCAAATGGGCCTTGTTCCAAAAACCCACACTTGAATTGCTCTGTTTATTTTAAACATAAACTAAGACAAGCACCAAAGATTAAATGGTCACAAGCAAAGTATGAAGTTCCTAGTACAATAACAAATCATGACCCCAGATTGCAACTCCTTAAAAAAACACAAAGTTTAACTGTGATTAAGCATAATAATCAACCTTCAAACAGTTCTTTATTTAATCCTTTTTCCTCTTCTGCAACTTCTTGTTATGTACTATCATCATATCAACTTTCTAATTCTAGGGCTTGTACAGCTATTTTGGAGAGATACCAAAATAGAACTAGGCTGGGAAGTGTGCAGCTAAGAAATTAAAGAAAACGCTAACTTTTCTTTTTCTTTGAAACCTGACCAAGTATAACGCAGAGTTTCATTAATGGGAGAGAAGTTTAAAACCAAGAGACAGCAGTGAGTTGTCTAATCTCTAATGCCTCTGTGATGAGGTAAACTTATGGAGCTTCACGGCCGCCTCACCATCACCTTTGAAAACACTGTTTTAGACTAAGACAACCACTCCAAAAGAAGAAAATGCTGCCGAACTAGTAATGTGTGTAAACAAATTAAACCGGCCAATATTGTTGTCCCTTGAAAAAGACCAATCAAAGCAATAGTGCAAGCACACAGAAATTCAAAAATGTCAAGCAAACATACCTTCTTAGTCTTGCCTTTGGTTGTTTGGAACTGTTGCCAAGCATTTTGACGTTTATTTTGCGTAACTTCTAGTTGCTCCATCCTCATCTTCGACTTAAAAGAATGTATCTTTTTTCGTTTGGTAGCTTTCTGTAGATTTGAAGTAGGCAAGAATCAGTCCCCAAAAAACTAGTTCTTAGAGAACATTGTAACAACATTGAACCATAACTAGCGCATTGTAAAAAATAGAAGACTACAAATCAATTACGATTGCTACCAAGCAATTTCCAACAAGTTGGATCGCTTATTCTACCAAACAACTACCAAATCTCTAAAGTAAACCAATTTTATGTAATCTTGAGTCAATAACAAAATAAATATACTTTATTAATTAAGTTCTATATTTACTAAAAAATATACTTATAAAAACTGTCAGTTTATTTCAGAAAGCATTGAATTTAGGTCATGCAAATAATTCTTATTACAAACTTCATTCACTCTTTCAGAATTAACAGCATTCAATTACACTTATCATTTAACTATTACCATTGCTACAAAAATCAGTTTTATATTTAAGCCATTGCTGGTATTGTGTTTTTACCTACTTTGAACCACATGACAAACTACAATACTTGATTAGGATCCATAACACTGACAACAATGAGTCATTGAAGACTATTTTTAAGACAAACATTTTTGTCTTGTGAATCTTCTACCACACCCACAATTTTGGGACAGGACAGAGAATGACAAAATAGATACAGATAGATAAAATACCACATCCTCAGGATCATCAGGTTCTATGCGAAGTTTTGCTGGTAAGCTTCGTGATTGGAAGTCAATAGATGCAGCTTGTGCAATCTTCCTTTTGATTGCTTGTTTTGTGGCCTCAGCAACCCTTTCAGCTTCCAGCAATGCATTGACAGCCCCTTCTTGAATTGGCCTTACATTGGCTGGATCCACCTGGGATAAAAATTACCAGTGGCATACCACAATTACATTTAAACAGAAGAATAGATGAACCAAAACACATGTAAAAATAAAATAAAATAAAATGTTGAAAATATGCAATATAAAAAAGGAATAACAAGCAATAATGAACAGATAAAAAGGGATCCACAACCTCAAATATTAAGTTAACTTGCACATAATATTTTAAGTCTAGAATAGGAAAAAGACTACGTTGTCACTTCAAAGTCGTCATTACAAATATTCAATAATAGGTGGATGGCGTTCAATATGGAAATACAATAATTTAATCATTAGAAATCACTCATTTCTTACTTGACATTTAATTTATATCAATCAGAGAGAAATTCACTCCATATATGGAAATACAATATCCACTTAAGGCATAGGACTAATATATTTTCAATAAATAAAAATTCCATGTAACGCATATCCTAACCAGAATTTAAAGACAACCACCTAACAATTCAACAGTAGGAAACTACAAAAAGTTGTTCTATATACCCAAAAACCAAAGTAGCACACAAATGCTAGTTGCATCCAGTCATGGGTATCTAACATTCCCTCTAAGTTTGTAGCATTTGAAATGGTTCAACCCAGATTACAATGTTTTTCCCTCTGTGTCATGCATCTATTCTTATTTTCAAATACTTCATTTTCTAAACTTTTAAAGTTTGCACTTCAAATTGCAAAAGTCTTCAACCAAGACGACATTTATTTCCTTTCAATGGGAAGACACGTGAAGCTTCAAGTGAGGATGTTTGCATTGAAGAAAAATCGGAACATCCTATCTCCAGCCTACATTCAATGATAACTGTCCATTTTTAAGCTTCTCCTTGATCATTACAAAAAAATCAGCCAAATAACAATCATTTAGCAATTTGATCAGCAACATTACCATTCATTTTCATCTGAAAACTGTGTTTGTCTGTACAGCTTATACGACCAAACAGTTTCTGATCTGGCCTTTTTTCTTTGGTTGCAAGAATGACCCCTAAAGATGACATAAAATGTAGACAGTTGTGATAATCAAACTGAATTGTGAGGTAGGCCTAGGGAGGTGCTAACATTCTATTTTAAAAGCAAACATCCTCACTTGAAAATTCTCCATGAAGAAATTCTTAATGCATGGTCAAGAAATTGGCAAGAAATCAGTGGCCAAAAGGTGGTCCACTGCCCACATCAATGAAGGTTAGAGTGATGCACAACCTCATATATTTTGTAATAATCCACTACAAACAAATACAAAATCTTAAGCCTGATACCTCCATGGTGGCAGAGTTAAATGATGGGTTGTGCATCTGTATTGGATGAAAACATATACATGTACAATATGGTTCATACATAGTATACGATAAAATTAAAAAATTAAAAATGCAAAATAGGCACTTGCCCATTTGTGGGACACAATACACTTTTGGTCATTATCCTGGGTTTCGGTTTCCTCCGAGTTTAGCCCTCCCCCTTCTCTCTCACACACAACACACAACACACAACTAGTTCTCATTCCAAACTAAGTACTCGTGGATAACTTTTGGAACAAGAATTTCCGACTGATATATGTATATCAAAATTTGGAAGCAAGATTTATACAAATACTGTGATATGAACATGACCAGGAGATAGAAGGATGACTTATTGAATTAAAAGCATAATGATTCAAGCTATCTGAGAAATCATACCTCTTCTCTATTCCCCCAGCCCTCATAAGTAACAAAATAACCATTTGGAGTGAGAGACTCGATTGTAGCATCATACCTGAACATTCAACTAATCAAGCACAGACAAAAAGAAAAGAAAAGGTAAAGAAAATGTAGAAACTTGTAAACATAAATTTATTGAAATTCATATCTCTGTTTATTATCACGTACCACTCCCCATCTTCACTCCAAACAGCTTGAACTTTTGTACCAGGAGGAAACTTGTCATGATAGTCAGAAATGCTCCCTGAATCCTACATGAGAAAAGAATGCAACGTGACCACAACAGGACAAGAGAGAGATTCACTAACTTTTGTACCAGGAGGAAACAGTAATATCAGCTTTTTTAGGTCAACGGAAAAATTCAAAAGGAAAAGACCAAAAAACGCAGTAAACACTAGGAAGATGCACTAACAGTAATATGAGGTTAATGCCATGCATTACCATATTTAAAGTAGTCACTAATGCTCAATAAATGTTGGAACAAAATTCAAATTCTGAAGCAATTATGATTTTGAATTCTTCTGAAGTTGAAACTCAAGCCAAGTAAACTGCAGAAGTTTTTATACAGAATCCTTGACCAGAACCATATGAGAAACAAAACTCTTCTCATGTAAATCATGCCCTAGCCACAACAAAAGCACATTTCACATACTACCACATACACAGAAAAAAAATTGTGGGCGTAGCTTTAACAAAACATAAAGCATATTTTCCCCATAAACCTAACAAAAGTAACAAAAGTAACAAAAATAAAAAATAAAATTATGTGAGGATGCCAATTTACATTTTCATTCCTCTGAGTCTGGGGCAAACTAGGAGATGCACAATCACTTGTCCCAAAATCTATTCCAGAACTTTGATTTTGCTTTGCAGTTGCAAGTAGTTCTTCTGTCAGAGCAATTACCTGCAGTAACATAGATTTAGCCCAAGCCTAAATTTGAACACCATATGTACAAATATTTGTCATCGTCGAAAACAGCAAATTATTGTCAGAATGCAAACATAGAATGTCAGTGTGAAAATCTGAAATCAGTTGACAGAGAAAGTGAAAGCTGACCATCACCACAAATAGCAGACCTGCAAAGGAACCAAGATAGAAGTAACATGCCTCTTGATGAAGCTCTAAGGATCTTTTTTTTTTCCTCTAATTCTCCAGAGTTCCAATTTCTGGAGTGTATGAACTTTATTTAACATAAAAACCATCCTCACCTTATTCAACCCTGTTATGAAAACAAACCTCCACAGGTGCCATAGCAGTTAATTGGTGTTGCTAGTTTGAGCAACATGTTGATTCCTTCAAAAGAAAGGAGGAAGAAATAAAAGAAGAATGATAATTGCATTGAAAGCCTAGACATCCATATAATAGTAACTGTACTTGGTTGTCATCCCTAAGGGCCAGAGAAGATGTTGACTCTGTTTCCACAAAGAAACACTAAAATAGGACCTATACACTACAAACTCCAATAAATTAGAGTGCCACAAATGTAGGAATGGACCAAATTATTTGATAAAATGTACATGCAATATCTACAAACAGAATATAAAATATAAGCAAAAAATACCTCATTGAGCTCTCTTTCCATGTCAGCATACTCAGAGTTTACAGGATCATCAGCTAAAAGCTCCTTTACCTGATCCAAAGGATGGGAAAAGTCATTACCAAAAAAAATAAAATTACAAGAGATTACATAGAACGATTTACCATGCAACCTACAGTATATAAGGGACATGCAAGAACAACACAAAGCAACCAAACTAGCTGAAATGATCTAATTATTGTAGTATTAATATATAATAAAACCGGATCCAAGTTTCCAGTATAAGAACATTTTCTCCAGAGAGTCACTCACTTAGGAAAATCTCCAAACAAGAATTCTGCACAGAGGTGGCATGGACATCATCAAATACCTCAACTTTCCATTTAATCATCCTAGTAAGAATCTGACCTCTGGGTGGAGGAAAATAACTAAAAGCCCAGACTACTGTTTATAAACTCCAAGCTTGCCCGTGATGTAAAACACAACAGTAAAAGAATCAAAGTACATAATAATACATATGTCTATATATGGAGTAAAGAGGAGGTATTGAGTTTGTGGCCTACAATTTTTGTCCAGATGAACAATAAGTCCATTGGCCCATAAGGCTTCATATACTTTTGCTTATATATTACAAAATCATCTTATGTATCAGCAAATTTTTACATTATAAGATAGTCGTTCTTCAAAGCTTTTTATTTTAAATTTCAGTATTTCAATTTAAAATAGACTATCCAATTTGGTAGTTTTCAAATCAAGATTCTTGCAAAGTAATTCTTACCACTCCTAACTCTCCCTATGCAGACAAAATTCATAATCTTGCTTTCTCAAGGATAGGACTTGAATACATGAGTTTAGTGTATAAGCTAATCTCATGTCTATTCAATACTTAAAAGCTGACTTGCCATAATCATTGACTCACCTTCCCAAGAAAGGACATAAACCTTCTTACAGGAGGTTTAGCAGCAAAGGCAGAACCTCGCCCCATGAGTAATAAATGTTTTTCCCACAACTTAAAATCATCAAACAAGCAGAACATATTTTCCAGTATAATTTAGTAACTTAAATAGGAAATAAGCAAAGTCTACTAGGTTTCAAAAGGGATATGGCCACCTAAGAGCTAAATAACCCCCATACACATACGTATATGTACATTACTGCTGAGATTATGAACATATATATTAATGGGCTAAGAACCTCGTGGACCTCCACTTGGGTCTACTAAGTTTGCTCTTTACAACTGTTTGAATAGGTTAGGCTTCTTTGATCGGCAGGAATGAAATGAATTGAGTCTTTTTCCTTTACTTTACTTTGTTTCCTTTTCTGCGTTTTCCTTCCTTTTTCTACATTTAGGGTTCTATCAATTACAGGAATCTCAATTTCCGAGGTAGAAGATCACCACGGCCCATTGACTATGTTGCTGAAATCATCAACCGCACGCATAAAAACTAAATTTTAAAATCTCTCCCTTTTTTTATTTTCAGAAAAGGGTTTCTTTCAGGTACACAGTGAGTGCAAAAACCCTAGTTAGAATTCAACTAAACCCTAATCATAACATATCGACTGTAACGTTGAAAATTAATGATAATAAGAACAAGAACAAATAAATTAACGAAGAAGAAGAAGAAGAAAGTAGAGTGGGGACCTGGTGAAGCTGATCTTTGTAGGTTGAAAGATTGGAGGCCAGTTCTTCTATGCTTAGCTCTTCTCCTCCCTCTCCTTCCATATTTTTTTATTTTTTGGTTTGTTTATCTTCTATAATTCTCAGAGATAGTTTATTGATTCCGAGCGATTTTTGCAAAAGCAGGAAGAAGGAAACAAAGATTGAATTTGGAGAGGAGAGAACAGAAGGAACCTAAACACTTCGAATCATAAGATTAGAAAAACGCAAGTAGAAACTCAACCAGTGGACTCTCCTTGGGTCCGAATTGTTTCCTCCTGGGCTGGGTCTAAAATTTGGCCCATACATTTTGTTATTAGCTTTTTTTTTTTCGTCTTTTTAATCTCAAATTATAAATAAATAGACCCAATAACCAATTACAATAGTCATGACGATAATCAAACTTTTGAATTAGTACTTTTTGAGATATTTAGTCATATACCCATTCTTAACACTAATAATATAGATAAATTCTACACCATTTAATTTTTATAAATAAACTCAAAAAATGACAACTGGCCATATTGAATTTAATTTTGATTATTAAATTACTTTGATGGCCTATCGAGTGTTTTGGGGTTTTTTGTGATGTTTTAGGGTTGGGTTTGTTTTAAGAAATTAATGACAGTTTTGTAATTTAAAAGAAGTTAAAAGCCTTTTTGTTATGTTGTAAATGGGTTTTGGGTGTGTTTCTAAAATTCATTTCATATAGGATTTTTTATTTATAATTTGGGCTTTTATATTGGGTATAATAGTGAATCTTCCTAATTCTTTTGCAGGAATGATAACTTTTAAAATAAATCATTCGAACTATGATATTACATTATGAAATTGGCTCAAATGACTGATTAGTGTTTTTAATTTTTTTTAGTCAAAGATTAGTGTTTTATTAACTCATGAAATGATTAGAGTTTCATCCTTATCCAAATGACAGCCCGCCTTCTACTATTTTGAGTAATATTTTGGTGCTATATAGACTAGTAATCGGTCGAATTGACTAAATCAGATGATCCGAATTGTAATGGTTGCTTTGGTTTATTTTGACTATAAAAAAAAAGTTAAAACAATTTAAAATTTGAATGGTTTGGTTTGGTTCGATTTTGAGCTTTTGTAAATTAGTCTAAACTAAATTCGACTGTTTACTTGTATTTTTATTTTATTTTATATGTGTAATACTCTCATTGGATAATAACTAGATAAGGATTTTGAATTTGAAGTTTAATTGAACTTTTAAGCTATTAATATTTGAATTGTGACTATATTAGTTTATTGAACTTTTAAGCTTTGTAGCATGTTGAATTTTAGGATGGTTTTATATGTTACAAAAAGAAAAAATATGTAGCATATTATGAATTTTATTTTGTTATAAGAGCACTTCCACCCATTTCCCATGACAAAGGGTAAGGGCAAGGCAAGGGTTGTTACTATTCATGTGAATAGCGACAGCCCTTGCAAAAAGGCTTGTGATGTTTCCACCCATTGCTATGGCAACCACTATTCACACGAGATATGAAGGAGAGGAATTTGAATAGAGTTTTGGTGTGGGAAATAAAAAATATGACTAAGTTTTTTTTTTTTTATAAATTCTGAAATTTTTAGTATTTTTATAGATTTTTTTTTCGATTTTTTATAAAAAAATTTCATTGCTGACATCAGCAAACTCCGGCAACAGCCCAGGCTTGTGGAGCCCACCAACTACCCTGGCTGCATTTGCCCCCTGAAAACACTTTTTGGGGCCTAGGCCCCCCCTTGCCCTGGCACGGGCTGAACGGTGGAATCGCTTTAATTAGTTGAACAAAGTTAAAAAAAATGCAAAAGAAGAAAAAAAGGCTCAAGTCCAAACCGTTTTAAATTGGTCTAGTTTGGTTCAATTTCCTCCGTAATTTTTATCAAAATCGAACTGAACCAATTCATTATATTATAATTTGTTCGAACGTGATTTTGAAATAAAACCGATCCAATCCAGACCGTACCCACCCCTATTTTCTTGTATCATCACCACCTCTTCCTCTCTTTATCCATTTATCTTTCTTTTTTCTCCAAAACAGAAATCAAATTCGGAAGGCCGCTTAGGGCTTGGCCTAGGATTCAAGTATTGCTTACAACTTATAAGTCATTGACCTTAATTGGGTGGGGCAATATTTGCTTAACATTGTATTCCTCGAGATGTTCTTATAATAATTGCCAGCTGAGAATGAAAACTTTTCCGTTGGTGATCTTTCTTGTTCCCAATTTGTTTTAATTTAACCATTGCAAAGGCTTATTCCCAATTTGTGCCAGTAGTGAACTTAAATACCAATACTTTTAGTATCAGTCCCTGAAAATATGTTCTACCCTATCATTATTATCAACATATAATATAAGCAAATGATTCATACACCACACAACCAAGATATCACAAACTCATGGCTTTTGGACTTTTGTTGTTTTCCAGCAAAGGATAATTTCTCTTCATCTATATACAAGGGAGCCCAAAACAAAACTAGATATAGCCAGTAGCTGCCATAGGGATAATGTCTCAACTCAACCGCTAGCACAGCTACAAGCCCCCACCACCATGGCTCTTGATTGAAGCTTTAAGACATGTTGCAAACACTCACCTCCTCCATCCACCTCACCCTTTCCCTGCAAGTAACACAAAAATTATCAGTCAGCAGTTGTCAGAATACTAATATAGATTCATTATCAAGAAACAGAATTACGGGTTCTGCAACTAATATGCACAACAAACAAACTCATTATCACTACAAATAATAAGGGTCAAACTATTAGCACTTCTAATTTAGCTCCTCCAAAATGTTTATCGTACAACCCTGCACTCATATCTCCTGCAGAAAGTTAAAATTTGGAGTGCCAATGGCAATAGTGCAATATAATACTATTGTCACCCCAAAATGATCACATCACATAAACGTTTCCCCAACCCCAACTTTTCAGAAACATTTATCAATAATAAAACCAACAAATCATTTTACTCAGCTCACTAATATTGTTAAAGTGTCTTCACACTAAAATTTAATTCTCTTTTTCCCCCCCCTTAGCTTTGGATGACCATGGCAGTGCTCCATCATGGGCAGTCATGGAGAACATGGGTATTTTTTAGATATATTATTATTATTAACATTATCTCACACATGTCTTATTGTTTATCAAACATCAAATAAAAAATGAAGCAAAAGGAAAAGAACAAAAGAAAATAAGAAGGTTTATTGAGCATGGGGGGCTTCAGAAAACCATACCATGTGCTCTCCTGACTTTGTTTCATGAAGAAATTGCTCCAATGCACCATCCCCACTAAGAATTTTTGCTCCAAGTCCTGGAGCGTCCACTGACCCAACAGCTTCTTCATCAACCAAAACTGCACACACCCTATTGGTTTCTGGTTTGATGTTTGGAACCTGTGCACAATCATAATGATCTAGTGTCATAGACCCAAATACAGAAATACCCAGGGTAAATACCAAAATTATATACACTTTCAGTTTTCTTTTTCTTTTTTCTTCTGCAAGTAAAAGTCATCAAGTTCGTGGAATGGCCAGACATTAAGCAAGTTATCGCCTTGCATAGCATAGAAGAGCGACACTACCATTGTTTCATAACCAAAACTTGGAGCAGCAACTAGAATTACTAATTTCACTACTATGCAAGGAATACAGAGATCAGCTGCTTCCATCTATGGTTAAAGTATACAATGTCCCTACCCAGTATGTCCCAGTGAAAATGAAACATCCTGAGACATCCAACATATAGAGGAGTACATTTAATTGTATTAGCAACATAAGGACTAGGACAGATGCGACGGTCCGCATATACCTCAAACATTGCGTCCGTAAGAATGTTTTCCAATATGGCTCTCAAACCTCGAGCACCAGTGTTCTTTGCCATTGCCTTTTTTGCAATCAATCTCAACGCATTATCAGTAAAATGTAATTTGACCTGCAATGCCATAAAAAATAAGAAATTACATCATAAATACATACCCTGCAAAAAATGCAATTATGAAAGGTATGGAAAGAAAGACGGTATTGACTACAAAATGCAATGGATCAAAATCTTACATTGTTCATGTTAAACATCTTCTTGTACTGTTTACCAAGAGCATTTTTAGGTTCTGTGAGGACCTAATTTAAAAGATAAAACATAGGGATCTTTCAATATCTTATCAATAAGGGGAAAAAAAACCACAAAAGAGTCTAGACAACCAGGAAATTTGATTGTAATATCAAGAATATGAAATGAATAAGCATTAACAGGGAAAAAAAGTGAGTAACTTCTAATATTATGCTTAAGAAGTGATGCACAATATCCTAGAGATTGAGCATACCTAAAATGTTATACAGTCCCACCAAATAATAACCATAAAAACAACAAGAAAAGATTCGGGATATAACCATGGAAGAGATAGAGCACACCTGAACAAGTTGGTCCTCATTTAAAGATGACAAACTAACTAAAATGGGAAAGCGTCCAACAAATTCAGGTATCAGGCCATACGCAATAAGATCACCAGTCTCCACCTTCAAGTCCATTAGAGAATTTAAGTTTAAGGACTCATTATTCAAAAGAATTAGGGTTTTTGTGTCATAGAAAAAGAAGAAGAAGTTAAGGAAGCCTCAAGTCAAAAAATTGATAAAAGGAAAAGACAAGAACAATGACGGAATATACAATATCTTTGAATACATTGAGTTTTTATTCTCACAGATTCCAACAATGCTGATGCCGAGATGGCATCAGTCAATTCACTAGTCCTCATGTTTGCACGAACTGGTGCTCCGAAGCCAATGGAAGAATCTTGGAGCCTGGAAAAAGAAGACGCCTAAACCTTTCAAACTACCTTCAAAGTAGAAACATTCATGCAAATAATTCTATTATAAATCCCTGGGAGAGTGCATTACCTTTCTGAAATGGCTTTCTCCAAACCAACAAATGCCCCACCACATATGAAAAGGATATTTCTTGTATCCATCTGCAAAGAATCACAACAAAGTAATTAGATGCACCAGAAACTAATGTTGACATTTTTCAAACAAAGTACTTCTAAAGTCAGACTTCGAGCACAAATTGTATTATCAAAACTGAACAATGCCTGCTGAAATGTAATTAGCTATTCCACATTCACAGTCCATTTTTTTAAACTACAAATATTAGAAGCGTTTCAGTTCTCTCAAAAGCCTTGGAAACCTCGGCCAAAGACACTCCTTAAGCAAAAAAATTTTGGGGGAGAG